AGTTAAAATGAAATCATTAGTGTGGGCCCTCATCCAATATGACTGGTGTCCTTATAAAAAGGGAAAATTTGGACACAGAGCCAGATATTCAGAGGGAAGATGATGTGAAGAGGTAGGGAGAACAAGAAATGAAAATGCAGGATTAAGGTAATGCAACTATAAACCAAGAACTGCCAAAGATGGCCAGCAAACCACCAGAAACTAGGAAGAGAAAAGGAAGGATTCCCCGCCAAGTTTCAGAGGGAGAATGGCCCTACTAACACCTGATCTCAGACTTCTGGCATCTCCAACTGTGAGACAATAGATTTCCATTGTTTAAAGCCACCCAGGTTGTGGTACTTTGTTATGGCAGCCCTAGGAAACTAATACATCTAATAATAAGGAGAAAAGAATAAATTATTATCTTTCCAAACAGTGAACCAGAGCAGTCACCAAAAATGAAGCTGTAAAGGAATATTTACTTACATGGGACTATATTCATAACATATTGTTTAAAAACAGCAGTATTAATGTCTTAATAAAACATTACATATTTTCCTATTTTTGTTAAAATATGTACATAAATATATGCTCAAACAAAAGTCTGGAAGGCCCTGCTTCAATAATTAATGGTGGTTGTTGATTAGGTTATGAAGTTTTTTAAGTCTTCTTTTGCTTATCTGTGTTTCTTGACTTTCTGGAAATGAATGACGCACACGGTAGCGGTTACCTGGATTGCCCAACAACCCTTTCATCAACACACCATGGAGGTGATATGTGACCCAAGCTGGGTCAATCAACCCGTGCCCCAGGCCACAAGAATTGGTTCAAAATGGACTCAAATCAGGTCAAGTAAAACACCTCCCTGAAATTTTTTCAACTGGACCTAGCAGGCTAGATTCCTCTTCCTCTGTGGTCATAAAGCTGTAAGATGACGAGCCCAGAGCCACCAACACCCTTGATTCCTATTTTGTGGAGAAGGCCACCTCCCAGACAGGCATGCAGCAAGTGTCCTTGCAAAGCAGATTCCCTTCTACACTCTCGCCCTTCACAGGTAGGCGAGGAAACACCTGCCTTTTATTTGCTAGAGTATGTTCAAGTTTGCTCATGTTTTAAAAAGAGAGACATTTTAAAAATGCAATCTTTAAGAATTAAACACCCAGTTCCATTTAATGCCTTCATGAACTCACTTAGGGCAATGGACTCTTACATATACAGCTGTAAATATACTGAAAGTAACATTGTCTAAAAGGATTTTAATACTTCTAAGCCATTCAGATACAAGTACGTTAAAGTATGCTATCAAACGCAGCATTATCAATTACTCGGTCAATTTTTATAGGAATTTTTCTCCAAGGGAAGAATTATAAGTACTTTTAGAAAACTTGAGTGAATACAGCAAGTTTCTCTCACAGAAATTTAAGTATATTCTGAACATAATTTTCTAGCTATAGCCACTTTTGTTGTTAAGTGGCTATGAAGACTAATGCTATAAAATTATGAGTGGTGGAAAAACTGAAATAAAGATAGTTTCAAAAGTTAGATGACACGTTCTGTACATGTTCAATCCCTTACTTTGACTATTACTAAAGAACCATAAAATTTTTACTAAGAGAAAAATCCATTTTTTCCACACAGCCCCAAATAAATGTTAAATAAATATTTCGAGAATTTAAAGCCAACCCAAATGATAAAGACGTATGATTCCAACATACAACATGTAGCTCTAGTCAGGATGTAAACTTACCTGTCCTGTGCCAACTTTGAAAGAATCATAATCAACACGCACAGAAGAAATGTAAGCACCAACTGGAAGTTTCCTCTGTGACTCGTTAGATTCTGAGGGTAGAGAAGCCATTTCTTTAGTTTTCTGAGCGCTTTCCTCTTTTGTAGAAGCGGCCATCATTGCCTTCTTTTCTGATGCTGCTTTTTTCTGTTCCTATGAAATAACAAAATTTCATAATATAATCTTGAGGAAAGGTTCCGTTCTCAGCTATCACTACCAGATATGCTATCTCACTATTAAGGAATGATTAGTAATTTCTCAGGCTAATAAGAGCACTGTTATTATGAGACATGTCCTTTTTAGAGATACATACTAAATATTTAGGGAGGAACAGCCATGTCTATAATAATTTACTTTAAAATTCTTGAAAGACTAAGAAGCAAAAGAAAAATATGGCAAAACAGCTACAATTAAACATGTAAGTACTATCATTAGATGAATCACAAAAATATTATTTTGAGCAAAAGAAGCCAGGTACACCAGAGTACATAACGTTCATTTTAATTACACGAACTTGTAGAATGGGAAAACTATTCTATAGTAATAGAAATCAGAATTGTAGTTTTGTTAGGGGAGAAGTTAACTAGAAAGAAGCATGAAGAAGCCACCTGAGGGACAGAAATGTTCAGTTCTTGTTTTAGGAAGTGATTACACAGGTACATACGATTG